GAAGGTCGGTGGTTCGAATCCCCGCGACGGGGTGAGCTCCCATTGCTCAGTCCCTGCTCCTGCCAACCTAGCAGTTCGAAAGCACGTCAAGTGCAAGTAGATAAATAGGTACCACTCCGGTGGGAAGGTAAACAGGGTTTCAATGCGCTGCTCTGGTTCACTAGAAGTGGCTTAGTCATGCTGGCCACATGACCTGGAAGCTGTATGCCGGCTCCCTCGGCCAGTAAAGCGAGATGAGCGCCGCAACCCCAGAGTCAGCCATGACTGGACCTAATGGTCAGGGGTCCCTTTACCTTTACTAGAGATTATTTGTTGAAATATAGGATTGTGCAGTCATGCTATTTATGCTAGTTTGGACTGAACGTCAGGAGTGGAGTAGACTTCTGCATGCATTCTGATCTAGGTTCTAACATTGATGACCATTTGCTATTTTGAACTATTGTTTCTCCAAATTTGAAGTAAACTCTCTATTTACTGATGGAAAGGCATTGGCTGAACCAGTCAACAGGTGTTTTAGTTTCATAGCTGAAAACCTAAGACACCTCAGTAAATATAGTGATGTGATTTGAATTGTGAATTCTAAAATATTGAAAGCATATGTCTAAAAGGTTTCATGAATTTTCCAGATAGCACTTAATTTACATCAATGATGTCTAAATGTTTAATGGAGTTGCGCAGAAAAATATATATATGGAAATCTTCCTTAGGCACTTGAAGTCTGCAAATAGCTTGACTGCAAATAATCTTAAGAGTTCTGCAAAAAAATTAGCGCAAAATAGATGAAGTGAAGAAGACACGGAAAGGGCTAGATGTTTCTTTGGTTAATCACTGACAAGAAAAGAGCTAAGTGATAAGAAGCTACGCTTCATGCTGTCTGACCCATTTCTATGCATGGTATTACGCTGACAGAAGGCAAACTGGAGGATGGCGGGAAAGACATTAGGTCAGCTGAAAAGCACTAGGGTAGGACTTTAGAACAAAGCTTCTGCATTGTGAGAAAGCTAGTGAAGGATGCTAGTCTCATCTTTATGAAATGTAGCTTAATAATGACCCAGTATCTTGTCTTAAAGGGGTGGAGAGGCCAAGTATTTATTGTAAGTCATTTATTGTTTGACTAACCCAGCAGTTATACCAAAATGTGGGGTTATTAATTACTGCTTACTGCCTGTGTGACATATACTAGTCAAAGTGTCAAACGAGGACCTGGGAGATTCAAAAATTCCCATGTGCAAGGTTCTTAAATGGCGGTGTGGTGATTGGTGGGTTTTCCAGTTTCCCTCACACCCTTGTGCTTCTAGAAAGACTCCTCTTCTGAGCAGGAATCAGACTTGTGTATCTCTGGAATGTATTTACTTTCCTGACTGGCTTCTTTTTCTTGCTGTTTTCAAACTTTTGCTCTAGCCTGGGAAAACAAAACTGACCTATGGAGAGGAAAAACCTTTTCCTGTGTGGATGCTTGTTACACCAATATTATCACTGTAACTGAAACAAGTTAAAATTTCCTTCTTACATTTTTGCAACATTGTGGTCTTGTAGTATGTAAACTAGGTGTTACTCTTTTTTGAAAGTGACTAAAATTTGCTAGTAGTCACAGATAATCTGCAGCCAGGGAGTGCATGGCTCATGCTTGAGAGGGTCATCATCTTTGAAGAGGAAGAAGATAGCATAGCAGACCATGTGCAACTGCCATGGATTCATTCCCTAGTGACACCATAAATGTATCATTCTTGATATATGGCCGCACATTCAACTTAGCTTGCTCACTGCTCCGGAATTTGCTCTGTAGAACTGAATAGTATTTAGATGTGAGATGTATTTAGTTGTGTGTGATTATTTTTTAAAGGAATCGCTTCAGAGGCTTAATTTCTTTGGGGGTGGGGTGTAATGCAGAGATGGATTCAGATAAACAAGGGGTGAAATTTGTTGTCAAAATGGGATTACCGTATTTTCCGCCCCATAGGATGCACCGGCCCATAGGACGCACCAAGTTTTTTTTTGGGGGGGGGAATAAAGAAAAAAAATTATTCCCCCCCCCCAGGCGCTTGTGGGGCCGGCAGCGGGGAGAAGCACTCTTCTCCCCGCCGCCCGCCTGCAGACCAGGTCCGGGGACAGCGGGAAGACGCGCTGCGCCTCCCAGCTGTCCCCGGAGCTTGCGGGGCTGGCGGCGGGGAGAAGCACGCGTCTCCCCGCCGTCAGTCTCCAAACCACATCAGGAGACAGCGGGATGGCGGCGACCTTGTGGGGCTGGCGCTGCGGCTCTCCTGAAGCCTGGAGAGCGAGAGAGGTCGGTGTGCACCGACCCCTCTCGCTCTCCAGGCTTCAGCGAAAGCCTGGACGCACTTTTCCCCTCCAAAAATGAAGGGGAAATGTGTGTGCGTCCTATGGGGTGCGCAGTGACCCCTCTCACTCTCCAGGCTTCAGGAAGCTCTCCCCCCAGCCCCTCAAGCTCCCAGAGCGATGCCGAAGCTGCACTCAGCTTCGGCATCGCTCTGGCTCCTGTTCTGGGGGCTGGGGTCGGGGGAAGCTCGGGCTTCCCCCGCCCCAGCCCTGCGCCTGGGGAAAAAAAATAATTTTCCCCCTTTATTTCCCCCCCCCAAAAAAATCTAGGTGCGTCCTATGAGCCGGTGCGTCCTATAGGGCGAAAAATACGGTAAGAAACAGCCAGCTTTCGGAAATCCTGAAATAAGATCAATTGACATCTTCAACCAAGTCTTATGGATGCTGCAGTTTGATTTCCAATCCCTGCTTGGGTAGACAATTATCCTAAATCCTTCTTATGTTCATTTATTTTCTTTCAATTTTTTTAAAAAATTGGTGGCTAGATGCAGAAATGGTTATGCGGGCAAGGGAGACACTGGTGTCTGATTGCAGAAATTCTTTTGCAAGTTAGCTGGGGATTTAAGAATCATAATGGAATGGGCATTCGGATGTACATTCAAGGTAGTGCATTCAAATTTACTTCCCATTCATAGGTAGTGGTTTTTAAAAAACCAAAAAAAAAAGGAACATACCTGTACATTAAGGTCAGCCTCTGGCTCCCTGCATTTTATCATCAAAGACCTTATTTTTAATAAATGCATTAAAATACCCCCTTGACAATTTTCAAAAAGTATCTGTGTTCAGCAGATTTATTTTTTCCTAACCTAGTGTGAGACCTGAGGGGAAAGCTTCATATGTCTGTCTCCTTCTCTTGATACACTTTTCCCACTTCTATAAATGAGATCTGTATTTTAAGTGCCAGAAATGATCAGGAGATTATATAGTCTTCCTGTGACTTTTGCACTGTGGGTGTCGTTCATTGTCTTGCTGAAACATTCCATTGTCCAGCAATAGGGGGATTTGCAGTGAGAATATTTTTTCCCCATCTGCTTTTAGAACTTCAATAGCAACAAATCCTGGAGAAGATGTTTTATGAATGATTTACCTCCAGATTGTAAAATGAAAAAAGAAAGAAATCCTTCTTCTCTTCCTGCCTCCAGTATCTCACAAATCCTGCATGATAACCTTGTTACAGTCAACGCACTATTCCAGTCTCTAATTTCCATTCCATTCATTTTCTAAAATGTGGCTTTAAAAATGCATTATTGAACCACATGTGGGAACTTGCTCTCCTTGTTTCAAAGCCCTGCTTTTTGAAATCAGAAACCTGAAATGACGGGCAACAGTAGTACTTCACAGCTGTTACTTTTGCTCGTATGTCTATGGCTCATAAAACTGGAAGGAGTCTAAACTTTTGTCTAATTCAATGTCACTGCAGTAGCACAAGCCTGAACTGTATCGTACAGTTACTCATCTAGGGAAAGAGAATGGAAATACAATTCTAGCCCTATTCAGCCTATGCCGCTGGGTAAGGGAATTTATGAGCTGCTAATTTTCACTTATAAGTTTAAATTTAACTGAACAGAATTGAGGACACATCCCTGCCCTCCAAGACAGTCTCAAAAATGTATTGGGCTAAGCCACAAAATATGTATAGAAACTGGACCAGGACATCCTCAAATGTCATCCATATTGACCCAGGAGCTATAACTATTTCCAGAGAACCCTTCTGCACTGAGCTACTCTTTTTGTGTAAGGTGTTTTTTTATGATTTAAAAAAAAATCTTCATTTTCTAATGTATATAAAACAGAGAGAACAATTATAACAACAAGATGGGAATTAAAGGATGAAAAGCTAAACTATAACATAAGAACATAGACAGTGCATGAGTTAAAAGTCCAAGTAAAGACTATCAACTTTATCAGATCAAAAGGTTGTTTGGGCAAGGGGACAGGATTGGCAAATAGGAGACAATTAACCATGGCCCTCTCAGTTATGAAAGCTGCACTACACTCCCATTTAAAATGCCACTTTAAATATGTGTGGCTCATTTACAGTTGGCAACTCTGAACAGGTATTTGCGGTTTGAAATCCTTTAAGAAATAAAGCGTGAATCTGTCCTCGGTGAGTGGACAATTCAGTTGGCCGCGTTCTTGCTATTTAGAGAAGCAAAGAGCTTATTTGCTTTTGGATTTTTCAGTGACATTTTTCAGGTTCACCTCATTGTTCAGGTGCATTCCAGAAATTCCTCCATGGATTGGACTAATGGTTTTGATTTGAAATTGCAGGTCTGTGTAATTCGGCAGACAGCTGGATGATTGTTCCTAATATCAAGCAAAACCACTACACGGTGCATGGCCTGCAGAGTGGCACCAAGTACATATTTGTTGTGAAGGCCATTAATCAGGCTGGCAGCCGGAACAGTGAGCCAGGAAAGCTGAAGACAAACAGTGAGTAATGTTGCATCCACCCCTCTGTGCACTTTGTTTCCCCCTCATCTCAGTTCCACTCAGCCTGACACTTCAGAAAGATACAGAAGACCTTATATTTTTAGCACTTTCCTCAATTGTGGGACATTTGTTTCATTCGGCAGTCATGACTGCTAAGCCTCTGCATTCATTTATGGAAACTAATTTAGGCTGCCCTCCTATAAAGCCCCAATTTACTCAGTAGAACTTACTTTTGAGTAGACATGCATGTCCTTGCCCATCGCACTTCACTGTCTGTGTGGAGGAATGAAGAGGGCTTCAGATGTCAATCAAAGTCTTCAAGGAGGCTTATCCAGAACAAGTCAGCCCTGGAGGCATGAAAAAGAATGGTTACTTCCTTGTGAATAGCAGACAGTTTCAAACGCTCCACTTTAGTGTCCCAAGAACCAGAGCAAGGATGGGGGCTGTGCAGATGCAACATGGCAAGCATGATTAAGAACGCGTAGCCACCAGGGGCAAAGAAAATCCTGTTTCTTCTGCAGCACTGGCCCTAAGCATAGTCCTTGGTTTTACACTCAAAAAGGAGCAATAGCAGTCATTCATTTAAATACAAGGACATCACTCACAGATCGCCAGCAGCTAAATTTAATCTTGTGCAATAAATAGGCTTCAGGATGCAGTACTCATTCAGTCTTTTATCTTGTTCCAAATCAAGGCCAGCCGTTTAAACTGGATCCCAAGTCTGCCCACAGGAAGCTGAAAGTATCTCATGACAACTTGACAGTGGAGCGTGACGAAACCTCTTCTAAAAAGAGCCACACACCTGAGCGCTTTACCAGCCAAGGGAGCTATGGGGTAGCGGGCAATGTATTTATTGACAGTGGACGGCATTACTGGGAAGTGGTTATCAGCGGGAGCACATGGTAAGTACAACACATGTTGTCCTTCATTTTTGTGATGAATAGAAGCTCGAGATTGACTGCATTTTCTTAAGCGACGAAATAACTATGGCAGGAAAATAATAATAAACATTAAACCATTATTTAATCTCCCTGCCTGCCCCCCCCAAAAAAAGTTGGTGGTTATCAGTAAACATAATATGTGATATTCAGCACCTAAAACACTATAGTAGCCCAAAGGTAGCTGCAATACCATCTCTGTCCGTAGACTCGCAGCTTATTCTGACAAGACCTGCAAAGACAAGGATGGATCAGGCTTCCACCTCAAACAGGTTCTGGACTGGAACAGAAGTGGAGATGGCTCTATAGCTTATTTTCTGGAAGTTCCTGGGCCCATTCCAGAAGCACATGAACTTAAATGCTCCTACCTCTTACACCTGAAAGCCCATGGCACTCCAAGCATGTACTTGCCAGTGCAGCTGCATAGGTCTCCCTATAGTTGCAGCAAATGCCTTGCATCTCATTTCCTGCCCAGGAATCAAGGGATTTGTGGTCCAGTGGGAGATTTCTGGGTGCAAAGATATGTTGTTTGCCTCCTTTATAATCCTCCAGGCACCAGTCAACTTCTTTAGAGACCATCTCCCCACTCCCTTCCCTGAGATAAGCCTTCATTGCAATCCTTGGAGTAAGGAGGGCTAGCACCCTGAAGAATTTGTGAGCCAAGCAGCATGCTGTCTGGCCATCACTGGTTTCAAAGGAGGGTCACAAAACAGGAAAACAAATATCCTATGCAATTGCATTGTTACAGCAAATAATATTTGTGGCAGTAAGATGTGCATGACCTGTCTTTCAGATTGTAAGGAAGAACATTAATTAAATATGTGTTGACATTTTGGTTAGCCTTCAGCTCATGAGAGTACGCAAGGCACAAACAGAAAGAGGCATGCATGTTACTGCAGAGCACAGTAGGTTAAAGTGCAGAAGACTGCATGAAATGGAAAGTGCATTTTCTCAAAGCTCATTTGTTTTGCAGGTATGCCATTGGCATTTCTTATAAGTCAGCGCCAAAACACGAATGGATCGGGAAGAATTCTGCCTCGTGGGTTCTTTGCCGCTGTAATAATACGTGGGTAGTGAGACATAACAGCAAAGAAATTCAAATAGATCCTGCACCCCACCTTCGCCGTGTTGGAATTTTGTTGGACTATGACAATGGTTCCTTGGCCTTTTATGATGCTTTGAACTCCCTGCATCTTTACACATTTGACATTACATTTGCACAGCCTGTGTGCCCAACGTTTACTGTCTGGAATAAGTGTTTGACAATAATAACGGGGCTTCCCATCCCAGACCACTTAGATTCCACTGAGCATATGCCATGATTGTTGCTCAACAGAGATGGATGATGAATGTCCAGTATCCCTCATGTATGCTTCCCACCGAATTATGACTGGAAAAAAAAAATATTAACAGAAACGCATTTCATACAAAAGCGACCCTAAATGCTTCAAGCCAGGACTGAGAATAATGGGATGACCTCGTCAGTCTTTACTGTTTCTTTTGTATTAAAGACAAGATAAGGCTTTAATAATTTCTCAGAATGCTTTTGTATTTAGTCTCTTTCAGGAAAATTTATAAATTATTTATATATTAAAAGAAAGAAAGAAAAGGAACCCTAATTTGGATATTTGCATTTGGGCACCTCATAAGAATGACTTGTTTTTGCACATTAAGGGCTCTGTCACAAAGATTTTATTAGCTGTTCCCCGTATTTTGATTTTATAAAAGAGAGAACAAGTTGGAATTATTTGAGAGGAAGGATGCAATACGAATGGCTTCCGTTTTTGTTCCTACGGTACTTTCGTAAGTGCCGCTTTTATGACATGAAACACCTCTTCACTTGGAGCACATTAACTTCTACATCAAGAAATGTCAGCATTCTAAATCAACCAGCAGTCAATGTTATGGATCGCAATTTCCTTTCCTACTGATGTTTCACCTTTGTCACTTTTTAAGGATATGTACATTTGATTCTTTTTTGTCTCAGATAACCAGGACAATTGAGAGAGGTCTGGCTGCATTTTAAGTATATATAAAAAAGTACCACTTGAAGGTCAAGTTCTGGTGGTACTGATGTGGATTCACATCATTTGAAAGGTACCAGGAGCACCCACATATGCTGTGCTGCAGATGGGCTATGTACACCTGATTAAAAACTTAAATGTGAGCATTTTGTTTTATTATGTTATATAGTGTATCAATAAAAATAGCAGAGGTATCTGTTTGTAAACAGTGCCAGGAAAAAGGCTGCACTTGGGTGTATCATTGTGTTGGATGCTTGAAGGGGCCTAGGGCTCTGTCTACTCCTGCTATACACTGAGCAGCAATGTCACAGGAGTGACATTGCCAGGGCTTATTTGAATGTAGTGGAAATGAAATCACGTATTTTTTCTGACCCTGTGCTTTTTCTCCTCCTGCTTTTCCAACACATACACACATATTCAGTGTGTAACTTCCCTATCTGCAGTACCCCATCAACCTGTTCCACTATCATGGGTCTTCAGTGAAACAGGGGCATAAAAGCCTTGTCCATTTCAATAGCCGTATAGATGTGTGTGTAAAAACATGTACATGCCCATCAGCACAGGTAAGCATGGTAACTAAAAAAACCAAGGCATGTACAAAAATCGACAAAGCTTTTCTTGCAGGGAAGATGAAAAATATGCTTTCTCTATAACACCTCCATCCACAGGTGGGATGACATAAACACAAGAAGACAGAGTGTGATTTTAAATGGAAGTTCCTGACTGGGCACCAACTGATTTAAACACCTCACATGAGAACATTTAAAAGTGAATTTCTGTTTCTTATACAGGCACCCCTAACATTACTCCAAAATGATTTATGTGGCACATGTGAAATCAATTCAAGGAGTGTTTCCTTTTTAAAAAGATAGTCTGGTTAACAGGGCAGAGAATAAAAGGTTTGAAGAAGACCTTGTTTAAAGCGATAGGCAAATAAAAATAAGACAAGACATTCATCATTTCCCTAATCTAATGCTTTCCTGTAATGTGCTTGGTAAAATGCTGGAATGCTTGGAATTCTCTGCAGATCTTTGCCCTGTATAAATATGACAGCATTAGTCTGTGCGCTAATCTCTGTGTTGGGGGGGGGGAATCAGAAAGTACACATCACTCCACTTCACTGCATCTACAGATATTAAACTAATCAAGACTGCTATCCTATGCCCACTTGGGAGTGAGTCCCATTGAACTCAAGAGGACTTATTTTATAGGACATGAGTATACGCTGCAAAAATAGTTGGCATTGGTATTCTCCTGTTTCTTTTACAATGAAGCGATAATGAAGTTTTAACTTTTCTTGCCTAGGATTTATTTTTAAAGAAGCATGGCCCACTTTTTAATGGCAATTGTACATTGTACAGTGAGATTTATATTCCAGCACTACATTTAAACAATTACATTCCTTTAGCGAAACTTTGTATGAAATTAGTGTGTCTTGTAGCAATGTCTGTTGCACAGATCAACTAGCTACAAATTTAGGCTCTTGACTTGTGTGTGGGTGTGTTTTAAGTTAAAATGTAGGTGGAAGGGAAACTCTTAATCGCATCATTTGAACTAGAAAGACTATGGGAAGAATTCATCAAACCAGCTGTTTTTATGCATTCAAACATCCATGTAAACATCCGGGGCTTGCACAAACAGCTCCTTAAAAGACATTTCATCTTGAATTTCTGGTCTGAAGAGTTCAGTGTTTTACTAAGGGCTTTTTCCATGCAGCCAGACTTGAGGTGAAGGGGCCATGCATGCAGACTTGGTTGGGGACGAGGCTGATCATGCGCTCTCAGGGTTGCAATCCTTTTTAAAAAAAACCATTTACTGGGTCGTAAGCCACTGAACACAGTAGGATTTGCTTCTAAGCAACATGCATATTGCTGTTGCACTGAACAGCATCTGTTTTAAATTGATTCCCAAGGTTCTACGGCACTTTGTGAACTCTATGCAAAAAAGCCAAAGGAAAGAGAATGCCAGATGTAAATAAAAGTGGGAACTTGAATAGGGTGTGTTAGGCCTGAGCTTAGCTTACGAGCCCCCCCCCTTTTTTTTCTCCTTTTTTTGCTTCCTGTAAAAAGCCTGCCTCACTGAAAATAATGCAGAGGTCCCACATTCCTATTTAACAATATATTGTTGAGAGTGGAACAATAGTTCCTTCTCCCAAAGAATGTCTCTTCTGTTTTAGTAAACCCAACAGTTCCCGCCTCCCATTATTGCAACTGGAAAACAGGATCTAACTTCCAGAACCAAATTATTAAATTTTGAAGGGAACAGAGAAGGCTAGAGATTATATTCCTTCATGCAGACTGAGCAACTGCTGCTAACACCACTATTTCCTTGGTCTGTCGTTAGCCTAGGAAAAACCAAGGCTGTCTACTGCTGTTGTATATGCTATTCCCTTGTCACTTTGGAGGTTGAATGTGCTGTTCTTTGGACGCTGTCCATCCCTAACTAATACCCCATACGGACATTATCATGTTGGTGAGCAAGATACAGTAAATCGTGTGCGTCTTCTAAGCAGGTATGTTTAAGTTGACCAAGTTCCTTGGCTGTTTTTTCCACAAGGACAAACAGGGAGAGGGCAGGTGCGGCAGAGACGTGGCCACTCATCCCCCCCCCCCGCTTTAATCCCCCAAGAAGGGATAA